CATAATACTGAAAAAGTCTTTCTTTTAAATATAATCTCACAAAATTTTATACGTATGGTTTTGTCTCTAACACTTATTCGAATCCTCGTTTGAATCGTTTGAATAAATAAAATAAAAACACAGAACAGATGTTTTATTTCGCACAAGTAGCAGATAACAAAAATGTAAGACACTCACCTCACCATTGCTCCGCCGTTGCCCGATGCCTCCTAAGCCTGGGCTCTTCCTCTCAGATTTCCTCGTTGCACTCGCATCACTCGCGAAAATCATCGATCGCGCGAAATTTCGGACACTCCCGTACGCGATGTGAAATACCGCGAAACGTACGAAATATTATTAACAAATATCGCGTGATTTTCTGTCATACAAATTACTCAAACTAACAACTTGCATTTTTGATTCGGAAGAATGGATAAATCACTATTGAGTTGGCGATATAAAACGCAACGCGAGCATCGGAAGCATAATCTGCGGTAAAGAAGTAGTTATTAGATTACATTTACATAATGTAACGACGTGCGATAAGCGACTTTCTTTACTTCCCGCCCGTTCGAGTTGCAAAGAACGACAGAGCGAATTACAGCGCGAACGCCGAAATCGTACAAATTTCTCTCTTTTCCCGAAAATGCAACAGATTACACGAAATTGATAGATAATTAAAAGCGCGGTGCGTAAACGAGATGTAACCGCGACAAAGTACTACGGTTTACATTCATATTTCAGGTAAGTTAGTCTCGTGAAATATCTATGTAAACGTTGATAAAGAACCGTCGTCTCAACACGCAGCTCGTTTCTCATTACAAGTTGTAGAAAGAATAATTAATCGAGGAACGTTACTTGTTACTGACAAAGACGTCCAAATCAATAGCGTTTTATCCGTGCATCCATCGCGATCGAGTCTTGGAAACCGATAACACAAAAGTAATACCACGCACGGAGCGACTCTCGACACCGCCTGCCGGCTCGACGTTCGGCGAGCGAATGATAGCGCAGCGACCTTCAGCTACACGATGGCACGTAAAAACAGTGTACGTCACCGCGCCGAGTGAAAAACAACAAAAAAACGTTGAGAATTCGTTGCCCCGCCTACGTAATGGAAAATTCCGTACCTAATATTTCGCATTACTTTGTTCCGCGACTGTTACTACGTTTTGTGTATCATTCTGCGGACTTATTGGTATCGATTAATTTAACGACTAATTCTGTTCAATCGAGAAGATGTTTCGAAACAAAAATCGTTGTTACTTACATTCTAATTACTAAGATTAGAGATTTTATCTCAATAGTTGTTAGTTCCTATGATCTTTTTACAATTCGGAATTTGTTTATAATTTGTTTTCTTTATATATTAATATTAATATACACAAAGTATTATTGCATATATTGTACATATATTATGTTGCTGTAAAATGTTCGCCTTCAGAAATATTACAATGTAATATTTTACATTGTAATATTTCTGAAGGCGGACATTTTACCGTTGCTGCAAGATTGCAGCAGCGTTGCAGCAACATTTCGCAGCATTCAGGCAATGTTGCAATCTTGCGATGAATTATTGTTACAATGTTGCTGAAACCTTGTTGCTGTGCTGCATAATATGGGACGCCGTATGTACAGGGGCTCTATTCTGTACTCGGCTACCGACAACTATCGACATCGTTTTTCACATGATAGAAAAGCTGCGCAAACGTCGTTAACGACATCGATATAATTGTCGGAATACGGCCAAGGAGAACAAAAAGTCAGGATGATGTCAATTTGACATAAATTTGGTCAATATGACATCAAATTGACACCATCCTGACTGTTTCTTCTCCTTGGGACAGAATAGAGCTTCAGAAAAAACGAAACGGACGCGGCGATTAGATCGGCGGCGCTTGGGCTCGATTCATTCGCAAGAGAAACGTATGCGAGTTCCGCTCTTAACTAAACAGACGACGTTTCAACCTGCCGTCAGACCAATATGCGTTGCCTTGAGATTCACGTGTCTAGCGTCGTTAATTTGTTAATTCTACGCGTATGAACGAACCTGTAATTAAATATTCCAGAAGTCCGCCTGAAATTTCGTCTCGTTGACGCGAACGACGGCTTCGCTGCGCGGCTCGCGTACGATCACGACGATTCCGGCGGCGAGATGTCGCGCGAGTCGCACTTCCGCCTCGCCGACGGAAGTGGCGGCCATGCTCGGGGCTCTTTTAGGTTGGTTTCGCTAGCGGCACGTTGTCGGAACGGTAAGCGCGACACTCATTCCCGGATTTTCCTCGCAATTGCACGTTTTCGTTTACTCGACCTCGTGGTAAGTTCGGTTACTTTCGTCGCACGCTCTTTGCGGGCGAAGGATGGTTCTCGGACGCAGGCGATCTGAGAAACAATCGCGACTCGACGTGCGACGACTCTGCGTTGTCAACGTCGTGGCCGCGCGCTCGCTCTAAATTTCCCGTGTTCATTTCTCGCGGTCCAGCCTCCCTCCGGTAGAAATTGCTAGTCGAAAACGATCCCCCGTGCTCGCCTCGCGGTAATCTCGCGATCGTCGAACGACGTTGATCCAAATTCCTGACGACGAGGTTCACAGCTCTCTCGATTCTGCCGATACAGGTGAGCCACCATGCAGATCTTCGTCAAGACCCTCACGGGCAAGACCATCACCCTCGAGGTGGAGGCGTCCGATACTATCGAGAACGTCAAGGCCAAGATCCAGGACAAGGAGGGCATCCCGCCTGATCAGCAGCGGCTCATCTTCGCCGGCAAACAGCTGGAGGATGGACGCACACTCTCCGACTACAACATACAGAAAGGTGCGAGCACGTGTAACGCGAAATCCAATTCGTTAATCTTTTTTATTGAGGGCCAGTTACACAAACGTCGGTTAACTGTTAACTAAAGTCCAGTTAACTCTATCTCTTTCTATCGCTAACAGTTAACCGACGTTTGTAAAACTGGCTCCGATGCAGATTAACTTTGATCCTGGCTCAACTTGTTTTTGTATCGTCACATTTAAAAAAATTCATAAAGACATGAACAGAGGGTGCATCCTGGACGTGAGATTGATCCTTCTCCTTTCGTAGAATCGACCCTCCATTTGGTGCTGCGCCTTCGAGGAGGCGTCATTGAGCCCACGCTGCGTATACTGGCACAGAAGTACAACTGCGACAAGATGATCTGTCGCAAGTGCTACGCTCGCCTTCATCCGCGAGCGACTAACTGCCGCAAGAAGAAGTGTGGCCACACGAATAACATTCGGCCGAAGAAGAAGCTGAAGTAGACTAAGAATGCCCAATTCTGTTTTCCATGTTGTGGAAATATATACATATATATGGCGCCAATAAATTACAGCTGGTAAACTGACCCTTCGCACTTTATTCTTTTTACATATTTAACGAAGTTGTCCACGAAATTCTTAGAGTCACAAAATAATTGCATATAATGGGCACTAAGTGAGTCTTAGTCTTAACAATTGGAGATACAAAACTGATACCAAACTAAGACTAGATATTGACAATATTTAGTCCCTTCAGTATAATACAGTAAGTTCAATTTATAAAAACGTGAAAATTAACTTTGTCTTATCCAGAGCACGCTGGTTTCATAAGCAGTTTGTACTGAGTAGCGTAAGCTTCGTATAAATTCATGTCGTTTGGACTTGGTATCGTGCCACCTACCTGTAAAGATATTCATGTTGCACAAAATTATACAACATCTTAATTGTACAAAACGCATTTACATACTGTGGCTCTTTTCACGTATTGCTCGTATATGCTTATGCTTTCGTCTTTAACGCTAGGCAACGCAGTTACAGCAGCTGTAGACTCGTGAAAGGATGCGTGTTGAATTAATTTCGAACGCAATTTAGTATGGTCTATGGAATACGTTGCGTTGCGTCCTATTAAAACAAATCTGAAAGGGGGAAAACGTTGAGACATATAGAACTTTTCATATTTATAAAAAAGAAAATCGTATTACCTTTTGTACAGAATAATATCGTTTCGTTTCGGATACTCCGGTTCTGTGCCATATACCTCCTTCATGGAAGGAAACAGCGATTCAAACGACATTAATTCTGAACTGTCTTTAGAAGTAATTAATAGGGAATCGTCCATTTGTTGATGGCTCTCGTCTTCGTCGGAGCTCGAGTCCTCGCTCGAGCTACAACATGTAATTGATAATGTCAATTTCCATGTATAATTAAGGAAAGAATAATTAAATTTTATATGGACCTTGCGCTAGACGTTGTACTACTCGTGCTGCTCTGGCCGGTCATAGACGGATTTTTCATATTTAGATTTTTACTACCCGCCTCCTCTCTCCGTCTACCTGGGCGTACACGGACAGCAAACGGACTGTAGCAGGTGGTAAAGTGTGGCATAAAGTCTCTAACGGAGTGACTTATTTTATATGCATATACTTCCAATAGCAAAGACAATTCGTACGGCCTGAAAAGTGTTTACATGGCATTTTTCGTAAAGCCAATTGATATAATATGAACAATAACATGTGCAATTACGAAAGAAGTCACGCTACCTGTGATAATCATAATAAACGTCGATCATCTCTTCTGTTGAGTTTTGTACTTGTATCATTTCTGAACAGGATTTAGTTACCTCGTCAAGCGCGTAAGGCAGACACCTCAATACACTCTTATCCCACCATTGTGTCAGAAGTCTTCTCTTGCGCGAGTAGTGGCAAGCAGATAGATGATGGAGATAATAATCCGTCAGTAACTCCCATATTGGAGGCTTACCTTCTTCAGGTATGAACAATCCTAGGATGTGTGTACATTGATTAAGCGATACTTATAGATTGTTTTGGAAAGACCAGATACGCGTTTACTTACCCAGAAATAAGTTAATCGTATGCTGCTTTTCTTGATCACTAAACGTATTGCTGTAATATCTACTTAATGTTTGCATAATATCGTTACCCTGACTTGTCCACGGAGCAGTTTTTCTAAACGACAATGGTTTCGTATGATCAGAATTGTATCAATTGTTGTCACGTTCGAATGTAATGACGTTCATCTACCTGTACGTTTTAATTCGGTGTACTAATTGCGAGCCACCGTACTGCAAGGCCAAGGTATCCCCATGATCCTCGTACAATTCTTCCAACATTCTCACACAATCGGAATCAAATTCTAGTTTAGGAGATTCCAGTACACCCAGAGCACACAACTGAAACCCTAGAGCACATTTTCCTATTGCAAACTGAGCTGTATTAGTTCGATCTAAGCAATCTACACAATTTGTTCTGATGATTCCAGTTTGCACAGTTCCTCTCTTAGCAAAACATTCCTTCACTTTATTCTGGATTGAATTTAATTCATTTGCTTTATTGATTTCTACATTTGAATCGGAACCGTGTAGGGAATTTGTTTGCCTGTTATAATCCATTTTAATTGAAGTATTAACTGAGCTTTTGGTGTCGCTTAAATTATATGACAAAGTCGAGCTTGAATTCGTCTTGTGAAGTTTCCTCGTATTATTGTTTTGTGGCGAGAATAGATTTCTCTGATTGTAATAAGGATTTTGTGACTGATAAATGCCGGTCTTTAATACAGCATTGTGAGCGATGTTTGCTAATCGTGCCATTACGTTCACCTTCTTTCTGTAAGAGCAACGAAAGAATTGGAATAAAATTGTTATCTTGTGTATTTTCACGTTAATACAAACTTGCCTTTTACTCATACGTGCCATGTCGAAGCTTATATAGTGAATATGATGCTCCGGAGGTAGGAATTGATTCAGATATTTCACAGCCATACTCAATTCTTCGCTCAGCGTACTTTCGTGTTTCTTTTTCTCTCGTTTCTTTACTAAATTTAATATTATTATTGGCGAGCCATATCTTTTCAACAGCTGATTAAAATGCGCTCCTAAAAACATTTCAACTACGTAAAGGAATCTTACGTCTGAGAATTGCATCAATTTGCTAATATTTATATATCATCAACTACCTGCTGTTTCCACATAAGGATCGGGCAAATCGCAAATTATAGTCGGCTTTGGGACCATCTTGCTAACGTCCTGACTCCAATGAGCGGGCACCGATCCACGCATCTGCACAAAAGAACTAAAACGTCCCTTACTCAAAGAACTCACGCCAGAGTCATGAACGATTTGTTCCGTCTCTACCTCGTTCGCGACGTCACCCTATATTCATATAATTATTGATCAGTCCCAGTATCTGCGAGGATACCTGCTTTAAATGCATCCGTGCGTACATCAAAATTTGCGCCACGTTTCAAAAAGCGTGTTCCTGCGTATTTGTTGCTCCTTCGGGCGATAACGGTGACGTACATAGATCTGCCAAATATGCTCACATTCGACTGCCCGATAAAGCCGTGTATGATGTACAATATCCACTCGGGGTGCAAATCTTTCTCCACCGGCTGTAAAAGGTGAGAATTCCACACGAAACGACGCTGTGGATTGCTACGTATACCATAATCCATATACTTGTCGCTCTTGCTATAAATACGTTTCCCATCATTATGTTAACTATACATTTTCAAGTTTTCTTAATTAAGAGGACATACACTTCAGCATAACGTACCACTCAGTCTGCCAATCTTTCCTAAATGCCCACATGTTAAAAAAATCTTCAGCATCGTCCGATTCCTCAGACTCCTTTTGGCTCGTAGGCACATCGGATTTGATACATGTCGGCGGTGCCATGTTACTTTGAAAAGTGTGCGATATGTCGTACGAATAACTGAAGTAGAAGTTGCTACTGAGATCAATACTTTGGTACATCTTCACGTATCTCTGTTCGTCAGGATGGAAGATTCGTATAATGTCATTCGGTATGTATATCATCGACGTGTCTTCTATCTTATATATCGTGTGATGACCGATAACTGCAACTCGGCGCCTTTTTGTAACTAGGATTATGTAATATCCCTCCAAAAAGCGTACGAATCCTGCAGCAAATATTCCTTTCTAAGATGTGTCTACAACTTATCACTATCGTTATTAATGTAAATTATCATATACTCTCTATGTTTCTACTACATTTCTAATTTAATTGAAAAAGGAGCTCGACATCGAGACGACTCGTTTGCATATTTTATACACAATCCTAAGCAGTACTAATTTCTCTATTACGTAGCGCCCGTGGTCTGCGTGGTATGTAATATCCATGCATTTAGCCTAATTACATCACATATGAGAAATATCGTTAAAAAATATATATATATAAGAAAATATCACACCATGCATGAGGGAGGATATGTACATACCATGATATACCATGATGTCTGATTGCGAATATTAATTCTGTTAATCATATAGTGTTTATTATTCTGACTGATTGCCTATCAAATATCGACTCGTTAACCGAATAACTCTGTATGGTGCTTGTGTCTAGTTGCCAATGTCTTGTCATACATTCTCTTAACGTTAATACTCAAAGTATCAAAATTTCTACCTATTACTTCTATACTCAACAATCTACATGTCTAGCAACGAGCAACCAACCTACTCCCTTGTTCCCCGAGCTAATTTTCCCTCTACGCAACAAAGTTATTCCGTTTACAATCATTATATACGTCTACCCTTGGCTTTGTGTCAATAAAAAGCTCATTATTATGCCTTACCAAGGAGAGCAAAAGCTGGTACTAGCCTGGGAAAAATGTCTCTCTGCCACATACTCTTCCAGGTGAATTTAGTTTGTGTTGGTTTGTGCAGCGGTTTTTGTAATTCTTGCCGCTCAGGCTCCTCTGATATACCCGAACTAGGTGCAGGCTCTTTACTATTTTCGCCTTTATTAGCAAGCAAATGTAAGTAAGCTGAGTTTTGTCTCAACCTCGATCAACAAATAATTCTGATAATGTGCTTTTAGTATCTGATATGGTAGTACAAATGATATTAGTAGTAGCGTGTGTGACAAGTCTTACATATCTACGGTTTACAGGAGAGTTAAATGTCATACCATGGGCAAAGCTTGAAACACTGAGGAGCCTAAGCCTCGACGTCAGCTAATGATAGACCAGCAAAAGAAAAGAATGTGTGTATGCCACGGATGGCCATTTTAAATCAAAATGTGCACGACTACGTGACTAATAAATGTATATACCGCGAAAGCTTGTGCGTGCAGCCATCGACAGCTCCGTGTCGCCGTCGCGTCGCGAGATCGCGTGCGTGATAGATCTTACCGACGATCCCGAAGGCGGACACGATGCGCGCGACGCCGCTGCCCACGTTGTTGCGCTGTCCCGCTCCTCGCGTCCTGTTACCCAGGTCGATCATGTTGACGAGGTCCTTGATCTCGTCCTGGGTGTACTCCCTCTTGTCGTCCACCAGGACCAGCTCCCGCGGCTCCATCCTGTCGATCTTCAGGACGCGGAAGCGCGTCTGCGTGTTGTTGGAGCCCATCAGGTAAAACCGCTGCAAGGACAGTGAACAATGAAGGACCGATCTGAACGAGAGAGAGACGTTCGAACGTTGGACTCACGGATTTCGTCTCGTACAGGGCGATTTTCTGTATGGAGGAGATAATGGGGTGGAACACCATGGTCGGTTTGCTCTGTTCCTCCATGGCGACGCGGCTCGTCGCGGTTCCACACCCGGGGACTGACTTCGATCAGCTGTCAAACCCTGATGCTACTGCATCTCTTCTCTGCTCTTTGGATTTTGGACGCTCCCGACTCGAAAGAGTTATATACACGTCTAATCTCTTCACATAAGATTATGAATTCATGCAAGAAGTGAAATTATTTTTCTAGCCTTCGCGGTAGTCATAGACAACCCTGAGCGTGCCAGATTTCTCCTTCCTCAGCCAACTCCATGCTCATCTTCTCATTTATATAGCACCTGTCCTCTTTAAAAGAACAACACGGCCAGATACAAACGCAACTCCATACTCAGGCTGGATTCGTGGTAAGAAATCGAACTTGAAAGTTATGTTTACATCGTCTGCTACAAAGCCGAGAGATGCACCAGCTGTCACCGTCCAGTTTTACGTGAACCTCGAGCGCGATATGCCCTCTGTGGACATTGAAAACATGGACACGAACTAGGTAGTCAATGTCCATGTTTGGGCTAAGCGGATAACGCAGATGTACACATTTTGGTTGTGTTCCGTGCTGTGTGCATGAAATGTCGATAAAAACAGTTATTAATTTTTCGTTATGTAAGTGAAAAAGCCAACTTGCAGACGCCCTCCATCACCACCGCCGAATTCCTCTCGGCGGTCCTCTTTTTCTTTGCATTAATTGCGTTTTTACATTTTTGTCGTTAATTTTTTTTTAACATTTAACATGCATACAGCAATACATACATAATACATAACTCTTATGTTGTAAAACATTAATAAAAAATGTTCCACAATGCTACACACGAAGCTGTGGCTATTCTGTAACATTCGCGCCTCGAAGTCCAGCACGCGTAGTTCATGAATTGACCATTGGACCATACTGCGAACAGCGCCCATGAAATGCGACCACATTTTAGCCTATCCTACCACTGATTTAAGCAGGAGTTGAGTCTCCTGGGGTCCTATTCTGTAATACACTTTAATGCGATTTATAATGCATTTTCTTACGTTATGTAAAGAAACTGTAACGCAACTTGGTGAACAGCGTTAGACTTCATAACGCATTGTACAATTGTACAAGCTGCTTACAGACTACAGTCCTATGTTATAATCAATAATATCAGTGGATTATAGTGGTTTTGTACAATTTTAGATACAATTTGGTTATTATGGCGTGACATATATTTTTATTATTTCCAATGTTCCATTTAGATTCTTTATATCCATTTTGAAAAAGAATCACAGCAGATTAATGCATACCTCCCGAGCAGAGTGGAAAAGTGTCGAATAAGTTTGAGTGAAATTCAATTTGTCAAAAATGTCGACTGTGTTCTCTGAAAGGAAAGCAACCACAGGTTCTTACACAATCTATCGGTAGTTTCACACACAAGACCTCGAATATTAAACGGTGACAAGATCAATAAAGAGACACTTCTGAAATCTGACAATTATCTTTTATTTTCCAGCATTAACACTCGCAGTGCCAATGCGGAATCGCGATAGCAGAAGAATCTATACAATATTTATTATCTACACAATACCCACTTATTCTGTTTATATAAGATTTAAGCATTCCTTCGCGACAAACACGAGTGACTGTACCGTACAAACGCTGACGTACGCGACTGTGAATGCGAACAGCATCTTGTCCTTCTTGCCACCTGCCAGGTACACCGGCTTCTCTATCGCAGCCTGAAGCGAGAGAAAATGTCATGAGAGAAATGCACGTTGGAGAAAGTCTCGCTGAAAATTATCGTCACGTATGTACACTTGCCTGGAAGTGCTTGTACTTCGACCACAATTTCGGGTCAAGGGTGGGCGGTTTGTCGGTGCAGTAGCTCGCCTTGGGCGTAACCGTCACCGGCTTCGTCTTGATGGAGTCGTAAATCATCACTGGCTCTGACTTCTGTAAAGGAAGAGGAGACTGAAACAGCACAGAAACTCGTTGATTTATTTACTGCGTGAGCCTTATATTACATTTATCATATGACAAATCTTTTAAGCGTGTTGATTGGCTGCTGAATAGAAAGTTTCTAGATACTCGAGAATTTTACCATCTTGCAGCCAATCGACACACTTAAAAAGTTTGTCATACGACAAACGTAACACCAGCCTAAGTATATACAGTGAATATCTTTCGCAATAAATTCTTTGCGGTTTGTTTCCAGGGGGTTGGTCATTTAGGAATGTTTTATTAAATGAGTATCAACCCTGTTTAAAGTAATAGATAGAATATGATGAGATTACGTTAGTTTACATACAATTTCAATGTAAATGAATAAGAATCTCGTTAATTTACATTGAAAATGTATGTAAACTAATGTAATCTGATCATATTCCATCTAACATCTTAAACAGAGAATTTAATCATGTACACTATTTGGACTTTAACTAGCTAGCGGCGCACCGTTTACTGCGTCGGAAAAAAGATGTACGTACACGCAGAAAGATCATTTGGAAATTAATTAATGAAACTGTTAAATATCAGACCTATGTAGATTATTCAATCAATCAATCTATCTATCTCTTTCTAGTACACAGATAAAAATATATTTATAGAATGCAGACCTCCGACTACGTCTCTATACATGTATCGATCACTACCAAAGTATCAACGACTACGATTAACATGCACCATGATAGACTGAGGCGTATACTTAATTCTTTACACCGATCAACATAATCATAGCATATTGTGTCGAGGGAATCTGATAAAAGATGTTACATGAGCAGATCCGACATGGCCGAATCGCTGCTCTACGTTCCACGTTCGATAATCGGGCCTGATAACGACTGACGATCGATCTAGAGACCCTAGAGACCAACACCCGGGGGAAAGAGGCGCGAGGCACCTGCGGACTCTGCGGAGGTAAACGAGAATCGGCGATACCCTCGGCCGAGGACGTGCCGCGACCGAGCCGTCGCGCCGATACAGTTGCCACGAGGCGCGAGGACCAGGACACGAGGACGCATCGTCACTTACGATGGGATACAGCGGCTGAAGGTTCCCGGACGGCTTCAGCCTGCCGGTGAACGAGTTGTATTGGTAAAACGGCATTTCTACTCGCAGTTGCGCAACCAACAGCAACCAACGGGTCTACCCGACCTCCGCGCGATCACTGAGCCCCCGTTTAGGCCGTAGACACTGTCGCCGCGTAGTGACGACGAGCTGCGAACACCGTGTGAATCTTTACGCGGGAATTTTGAACGACGGGAGCGCTCGAAAGCGGCAAAGACGACGCAGCACCGATAAATATTACTGCTGGATAGTGAATAGGCCGAAATTTGTGCGCCGATATGAACGGCGCCATGCTGGCAGAGCTTGTCATTCTCGGGCGTGATTTTTTCCGTGGGATTTTCGTGATCTCGGCTCGTAAATGTATGGTATCCAGTAACGCGAGCTTCCTGTTATCTCGCAGGTATTGGAGGATAATTAGTCCCAGTCTACAATAGAGATTTAAGCCCTAAGCCTTAAGAAATTGACTAATCACAGTCGCGCATTCTTCTCATACTTGACCGTGATTGGCCAATTTCTTAAAGCTTAGGGCTTAAATCTCTATTGTAGACTGGGACTTAGAGTTTGGGAAATCCTTCTTCTCTTCGTCCTGAATTGAAGAAGTAGAGGATCAATCGGCGGGATTACGCAGGCGAGTGGGAACGAGGAAAAAACCGAAAGGCGCCCGAGTCGATGACACGTGAGATGAAAGTTATTGAAAAATTGCTGAGTGTATGTATCTCAAAATGAATCGTAACGTTTCGTGGAATTCAATGTAATACTGCGAGAAGATAAGGAGAGCTAAGGAATAATGTTCAAGATAATTAAAAGATTATGAATATTAGAAATCAGAAGAAATTATATTAGATGAAATTTGTTTCTTCTTCGTAACTCTAACTTAACTTCGTTACTTTTTCTTCGTCTACAACTGGAACATAACTCAGTTACATTTTTTCAATAACTATGTAACTAATTTAATAGTTACTTACTTTATATATTTTTGAAACCCCTACGAATTGCATTAGGCCTTGCATTTGTGCATAAACGCGTTTATCGACGCTTTACAATTCAAATGCAGATTTGATGTTTTTGTTTTCATTGCAAGAAAGTAACTGCAAAGTAACGATTCGTTACTGTTTAAGTAACTGTAACGCGTTACTTTTCAGAATTGGCAATTTGTAACTGTAACTAGTTGCATTTCTAGCGAAAAAAACTGTAACTAAATACTTTTATAAAGTAACTTTCCCAACCCTGATGAAATATAAAAACGTCAGACGTTTCGATTCGACTAACACGCGATCCTTTTCAATGACAATATAATAAGAGAAAATCGTGGCGCAGTCATTCTTTAAAAATATATCTGGAAGAAAATGTAATACATGTCTGTAGTATACAAATTACAAAATCATCTAATTAATATATAATATAATACAATTAAGCTAATTAAATAAATATAAAACAAAAACAGTCAATGAATACATATGCTATTATACTTATCTCTCGCGACGATGACCGAACGCGCGCGCGGCAACGTATAATATATATTTTTGTCAGCGCGATTTCACTCGCCTTTGTAAAAAAAAAACCGCACAATCCGCTGGCCACCTCAGGTCTCGCCGCATCGGAGCATCCCAGCCTGGCCTGCACCTCACGCAATCAGTGGAACGTGTGTTTTCCGAGACTAGCGCACTCTGGCAGCGATTGTTATGAGGTTAGACACACAGTTGCAAGCCCTCAGGAACCTTGTGTGAAACGGTACTAATTGTGATTTATAACGACGCTCTACCGTGGCCCAAGTTACGATATGTAAACTGGACCTGGACTGGGAAACTATGTTGGCTACCAGTATCAGTAATCTCAGCCTCTTGCGTACACAGACATGGCCAGCACTCGCTTCTCATTGAAACTTATCTCACGTTATCACAGCTGCATCCATATTAATGGTGTGGGACACAAGTAAGACGTTACCCGTTTCGTTTCAGGTGCCACGTGATATCGCAGAGCGCGGTAGAGTCGCCGCCGGGACAGTCTGTTCTCCAGGGAGAGCGAACGACGTTGCAGAGATCTACAAGCGCCTCTTGGTCCCCACGCGTATCCGTGTTGCCACTCACGTAACGCAGCTTGAAGGTGGATTCCTAGTCTCTCCTCGCAGGTGGATGCGTGTGCTGTGTACTGTTACATGCGTGTAACAAACGCGTATAGATAAAGCACATAGACAGCAGGTATACAGTTTACACACCAGGCACTCAGCTTCCCCACAACTGTGACATTTCTTTTCACCTGTTCAACGTGCGCACACGTGGCGCGTCACCGTCGGATAGTCGCTGTAAAAGTACAGACCATTTTTCCAGCGTAATTGCTGCATATTTGTTGGAAACTTGGGCTGTACCGCTGGTAGCCTGATTTATTGATTTATCAGAGCACGTGCGTCAACTGTGACCGCCCAGTAAGCACCAGCTAACAGTCAATATTGTAATTTCTCACTCGATACAAGTGTAACATAACACGCGTCGCGCGCAACAGTTGTGCAGCTGTTGAGCAGGAAATTGCAATGTTGATGAGTTACGTAACTGTTGGATGATCTTTGCCGGGAGATCGAGTGTAGCTGTGAAACGCGCATTCTAACATTCTCTCGCGTGGATTTCAGGAACTCTACATCGCAGGGACCTCCGTCCGGAGTCAGCTCGATGCGGGATGGCGTGGAGTTTGTAGCCAGTGGCGTCATAGAAAAGAGTTCGCCAGGAACTGCATCGTCCTGTGGAGCCAATGGTACTGAGAGCTACGTCTACTACTGAGCTATCGTGTCGTCGCTGTTACAATGTTAAGGTCGTCGCGTCGCGTCGCGTCGCATCGACGAGTCGGCATCAATAAGGCGCGGCTCGTTTGACGCCAAATCGTCGCCGTTGATCGGGCATAAAATTGTTTCAATAACTTTCCACTATGGCAGCTCTATCATGCGCTGTTTTACCGACGGTGCGCCAATGCGGCTCGAAGGCACATCATGGCTGAAAGATGCGCGGCCCTGTGATCTGCAATGTGTTAAATCACTTCATTATATTTCGCATAACATGAGCTGCGGGGATGCTGTAACAAGCGCCCATGGTAAGGTACCGAGTATGCGCGGGGGACGAGTAGGTTTCGTGGGCCGGGAATGGGAAACTTGCTGTACTGTGTATTCGTAGTGTTGATTGAGAGAGACAATTGGTGTGTAGGTGGAGGCCCGTTTTGGTATATTGTGCGGACAGCGAGGCCGCGGAGGCACCGGCTGGGCTATTGTCGCGAGAGTCTATTCGAAACCACGTCGCCCGGCAGGAAAGCACTGCCTGAAATCTTTGATCCAAGACCGGCCAATTTGTTTTTAGGAGCGTTTGAGTTCGAGATCCCAACGCATTGGACCAAAAGTGTACAGGAGTCGTAGGATTCAAAGTAAATGGGGCGCGCAGTATCACGAAGCTATACAGGACATTGCGTTCGGCATGCAATGCCTGCCCTACATGCCGACGGAACCGCCGGCGTCCTTGAGCGAAGAGATCGTGGAAGCTGGTCCGTTGTACGTGTGCGAGCACTGCAAAGACTGGTGAGTTCGTAATCGGGCGTTTCACGACAACCACCTTGAGATGCGGCGGGAGTTGTCTTGCGTGTCTGTTTAACGCGTGTACGGGCAATTCTTGTTTCAGTTTCCGCTTTCAAAGCAGCTTTCAGGATCACAACGAGCGCCACAGCTGGATCTTGGGGCTTCGGTGTAACAGTTGCTTAGAAAGATGCACTCACGTAACTGCGACAGACTCTGCGCATACAAGGTGCGCCATATGCGCGCAAAGGAACAACGACAAGCGCAGGTACTTTCGGGGAAGAGGCTTCAATCGGAACCAAAAGTTTGGGGCTATCAAAGTATTCTACAACCAGTGCCAGTTCGTCGAACACCTGAAGATGCATCGATTATACTCGGTGAACATCGGTAATTTAATGTTATTACCTATACCTGTCAACATGAGAAGCAGCGATTGGTCTCCGGAATTTGAAATAGTATGCGAGGCACTTATGGAATATGGATTTATAGCACACGGACATATTATAGACTGGTTTAAGGCGCACAATTTGGAGGACAGCTGGTGGAGGCTCGTTGATGGCAAAAGTGGTAACGATATGATAAACAAACTTGTCGACAGTTATCAGGGTCGATATGTATTCGGACCCGACGACAAATCAATAACAGATATGAATTTCAGTTCTTCTAGTGCTAGCACTGACTGCCCGGACATTGAATTTATGGACGACAGTTCCATTGATAAAGCTACTGATCGCTATTCTGCTGGTACAATCTCGGGCAATCATATCGTGGAAAACGAGGATAATCCATGTACGTCGACTGATATTACTTTTGTTGATTGCGGCCCTACTCCACAATATTTTGAGCCAGAAGCGCCGGTGTGTTATGCACATAGGAAACAAGTGACGCCACAAGAGATAAAACAGAAGAAAAATTCTCGCTTATTTTACACAGCCGCGGTGAATAATAAAATTAGGAGCGGTCTTAAAAGTCACGAAGAGGATAGGATTCACGAAGCTGCTATTACCGTAAGAGCTGGCGATAATGGTTCTAAGAAAAATCTTGTTAAACAATCGTCGAAAGATAACGTGCAACAATGTAAAACAGTTGAACCTGTTGTAAAGCAAACTGCACAGAATAATTCTAAGAAAACTGGCGGTAGTAAAATTTCTGACAATTCAATTCAGATTGGTGTCCAATTGTCCGCTAAGAAAAGTGCAATAACCAAGACTAATTTAGATCATTTAGGGCAAAGTCTTCAGACATCAAGAATAAATAGTAATAATTCCAATGTACTGACTATCCAGGATTCTAAGAAGATTGCTTCGATAATTAATCAACTTCCACCTCACCTTATTTCCAACAAGAAAGTAGTTGTCATAGAACAGGATTCACGTAACGTCATCGCTCGTCGCAAGAATAAGGCGACTGCCAAAAAAGATTCGAGCATCTCGGTGGTAGATAACAATGGTGCAGACTCCAATATATTGTCAACGCAGAAGATGTGCGATTCCAATGTCAATAAACTAGAAGTCACTGGAAAAATTGTAATAAAAGACGGAAAGAAGTACCTCATTAAACGTACCAAAAATATTACAAAGAATCCAGCGAGTTCTAATTTAGCAATTGTGAGAAATGCCGCGACAGTTACAAAACAATCAACGTCGGAACACAACGCTTCAGAGTCAAGTTTAACGTTCGCTAGTTCTAATGAAATCGAAAATACTGACGTGGAACAAACGACCTCGCTTCACAACAATGTTTCTCTTTTGCCACCGCCACCCTCTCTCTCCGAAATGTCCAGTAGCTCTAGTTGCGATAAGAAAACTTTAGTTATGCCACAATTACAGAAAATACCTCCGCATTTAATTTCGTTATCTGCAATGGATCAGTCTCAAAAATACATATTCGAAACAATATCACTAATTAAAGAGGAAAATGGAGATATATATATGGATATAAAAGTGGTAGATCGTAATGTACGGGAAAGTCTTCGGGATGTGTGCGATGTAATAATAAAATATAGGCAAGAAATGTTTAATGAGTTTAAGCAAATGAATACGTTGGAATTGAAAGAACGGCTCGACCATTTGCAATGCGTTAGTGAAGAAATGAAGCAAATGTTGAATTTCATATCGAAGACCGTCCTTGCGGAGAAATTAAGAGCCGTCGATATTCTTCAAAAAATAATATTAAAAGAATATTTCGATAGATTTGAGCAAAATAACGTTCGTGATAACGACGTGTTGTTAACCGAGTGGGAAACGAAAGTTGATCCAGTACACAAGTGTCGAACGTGCAATAAACTCATGAAACCTAAATCATATATAGCCGGGTTTTCAAAATTATCCAGGAATGACGACACGTATTGTTCTTGCTACAAACAAGTTTGCCACGTGTGTCTGTTTTACCAAGGCAACACGATTTATCGGTTTATCACACATCAAAACTTCCATACGCTGAGCAAACCTTACGTTTGTCCAGATTGCTTTATCAAATTCGATTCTGCTACCTCTTTGGAAGTTCACACATGGACCGTTTGCTTTCATATATTAAAAAGGACCATATTTAATTGTAAACTTTGCGGTATAGATGGCTTTAGGGATTTGGAATCTATCACCAGACACTTTGCTATCATGCACAGCAAAATGAAGATCGGTTGCGAAAATTGTTTACAAGTGCTTGCCTCGTATAGTGAGTACACGCAACACTGCGCACAGAAACATCCGTCTAAAGTCGAGCAGAATCCAATACGACTAGTAATATGTAAAGTAAGTAATGTAATCTTACGTTGCGAGAATTACATGTCATACTTGGAGAAGTATCTTGGAGTTAAAAAATTAGTATGGCTCAAATGTCCCTTCTGCAACTTGTTAACTACAGCTAACAAACACGTGACGACGTTGCTGAACAATCATATGCGAGACAGTCATTTAGAAGCCTTGTCAAAGGTCCTTAGCAAAGAGGCATTTATCAAAATTTTCGGTGTAAAAGTTCTAAAGGCAATCTCCTTTAAAAGTAGCCAAGACGGAAAGTTGCCAACTCGCTTGGATCGTACCGTCGTGCCTAGAATTGTGAATACTCGAACTATCAGTTCGGAAATATTCGAACATGGCTCGCAGGGTATGGAGTGTACGTGGTCTGCGGGTACCAATAAAGTCGTCGATGAAAGTCCAATGAAGAAGAAAGTTGCCAATAAAGGGAAAAGAGAATTATTACCAAAAATAATCAACGTTAGATCGATAGACGATATAAAGGCATCCAAACCTAAGGAGGCGATTACGAAATTTTCAAACGAGACGAAAAAGAAATCTAATTCTTCCTCCGTTCACGTTACAATTGAGATTGAAGAGAAAAAAGTGAATCCATTCGAAGTTAAGTGTATCCATAAAACAACAATGGAGTTAGACGATAGCAATGAGGACACAGCGAAGACAAGAGAGTCTGTTAAGGATAACGAATTGATAAGGAATGCTCTATGCGTTTCCGACCCTTTCTCAGTAAACACGGGTGACGTTCGTGCAAATTCGCCAATCGTATCGAACAAACAAGTTTCGAACTCCACATCCGAGAGAAGAATGGATGGCCGCATAAAAGTAGTTGACTTTAGGAAAATATGTAAACCGGACGTCGATCAACTCTTTACCGAGGAAATGTTCGATATAAAGATGAAAGATGAAAACGCAAGTTATTTGCCATGTCCTCCTCCGCTCACCAGGATCCCGCAGCATTTACTCGAACCTGTAGAAGTCAATGAGTCGGACAGCGAGTCAACAGAGTCGAGATCAAAGAGGTCTCTCGTTCGAGGAGTGACCGATGAGTCAAAAGTGCGTATCGCTCTAGGAACAGACACGCAGGGGGAAGAAGGTGTTGATTACCTGTGCCACTTGTGCAACGAACGGATTAATTCTTCTCAGTTTGTGGTGCAGAGACATTTTCGTGAGAAGCATTCCGACGAGTATAAAGTGGCGGTGATTACTCCGCAATTACCACGGATGTCGCCCGACTTTATTAACGGTGGTTACAAACAATTTATAAATAACAGGAAGCGAAAATCGGACAGCGCTCAGTGTGCAAGCAGAAGGAAGCGACGGTGGACAGCGAAGAAGCATGTGGAGGCGAAAGATACAAATCCGATAGGATTATGCGTGGAACAGGAGACGGCGGAGGACGGCGAGGGTAATTTTATATGCAAGAAGTGTGGCCAACGATGCACCGATATGCCCGATCTAAGGGAGCACATCGCCGCCAATCACCGATTGAAGGGCCATTATCTGATATGCCTGGAGTGCGGCGAGAACTTTGTGGTTGCGCCCAGCTTACAGATGCATCTTAAAGCTTTTCACGGTATAGAAGATCCTATCCACTATATGGCTCAAAACCCCTTTTACGCCCCGAGTGATGCTGACTTGCAGTCGGAAGGGAAAACAACAATAGCTAATCAGTGCTACGTTTGTATGGCAGTTTTCGAAGATAAAGCTGCGGTGGACAAGCATTTGAGGGTGCACGGCATGGCTTTCCTGAATCGCAAGAGGATAGAGGCGAGAAATGCTCTGGAGAAGAAAACCAGTACGGAGGGGGATAAGTCGAATCTTGTCGGAAACGATTCGAAGGAAGCTGGTAAACGGGATAAACCGGCGGAAACAATTCTGGAAAAGATTAATGTAAGTAATATTAGATTTATCACACACATGTCCAAAGTTATTGATTTCATCATTAAAATTGAACGTTGATTGTTTCAGGCGGCGATATAGCTACAGAAGATGAAACGTAGGGACGACGTACGGAAGAAAACGGCGTTGTAATACAATGGATTCATCAATCTTACTTACACGCTCGTTTCTGTATATTTGCGCGCTCAACTTTTCATTGTTTATATCCTTAAATATTGCATCACTGAATCATTAGATCTCTTTTTTTCGTACCGCGTGTACTTTGTAATATATTACTTTCTTATGTAATGTTATTCAGGCGAATAGATAGAAAAATAATGCGTGATATGCGAGTGAAACAGTAATAAAAGATAGTAGATAATTATGACAGAGCAAGACAAAATCTGCTATGTAAATTGACCATTTATGAAAATTACATTTTTATTTTGTGTTATTTTATGTTATTTAAAAATTATGTGAAAAATCAATTTCGTAATGTATGTATATTTGTCTACGTTTATTATGATGAACAAAATATCTATTATCTGTATTAAAGTTTGCCAAATTAATGCAGTTTATATTTGAAAAATATTATAAATGCTTTATACAAATAAATGTTTGTGTTAAATACACATTTAGTTTGTATAAAATAATATTTTTCAAATATAATTTAATTATAAATTTAAAAACTATATTGGTCGTTTTGAGATAAAAACGAAAAATATGGGCAATGTAAGCCGTCACGAGATCAAAGGTGATAAATTATATACATAAGTTTTGGTATAAAAATATATTAGAAATAATTACATTATGGTAATTTTTACTAAATTTATTTAAGGCCAAATTACCTTTGTAATGGTTTGTGTTTTACACGTAAGTGTTAATTCAAAATATGCTGACCTACATATAATATAAGAAAATGTAAATAATTATTTTGTTGTAACGAATTAATGTCTTTTTGTATTATATTAGTTTACTTAGTTATATATTCTGACTTACGACGTGTAAGAGTAAAAGAGTCTTACATTAGTTGAATATCTATCGCATTAATTTATTGAAAAATTGTGGGATGGATATCAACAATGCTCAATATAATAAAACAAAAATGGATAGAATATATACATATATGTGTATATATATATATAGAGTTCTTTATTACATCATTCTTACTTGCACAGACAATGCTGGTTATTGCTTAATCGATAGTTTTTTTTTTATTGATTGACACATCGAGATATCCGAGTTACGAAACCAGTCGGATAGCAAGACTTTGGAAGGAAACCCTCTCGCAGGAATATGTCCCCTCACCATTTGCCTTATCTACATATTTATATGTATATACGTTTATACTCGGTGGCATGAAAATATCGGTACGTTTCAATACGTGTTCACGCATATTACAAAGAAAAGAACGTGACATTCTTATTTTAAGTCGCTTTACCTCGAGCAGATATATTTTCATTGCACATGAGCGCAGGTACTAGAGAAAAGATTTGGGGCACTGAACACTTTGATTGCAGCCCCGTAAGGGTATTTACAGTTTGTCTTCTTTGAAATACTTAAGAGTTTTGCAGTCGCGAAAGTATTCCATCTTCGAGTATCCGGTGAATACATTATCGATTATAAATCGAGTATTTTCAAGTGACACGGAAGTTTGTCTACTTCATCTCCATCACTCTTCTTGATCGGATGAGTCAAGAAACTTTAGTTTTGAAAGCGGTACTTTTCTTTTTACGAAACAACTTATAATTAACAAGATTACCGAACTCATTTCACCACGAAAAATAGTATGGGAAAGGATATCATGAGCGTTGGTCCCCTTTACAATCCTCCAAGACAAACGTGTACTCTTACGGGTCTTAAAATTTGCTTTTCTTTTCTTTTTTCTCTCTTTTTTTTGGCACAGTTACTAGCGAACACACATGTTTGAGATTACATTGCGATTGGTCCATGATCCTCGCATTTGGGCGTTTACGCGAACAAGAAACCTATTTGTATTTACACGTACGCCACTTTGTGGAGTCTCCGCACGATCATGACGCACTATTCCGCTTATTGATTTGAGCACGAATAAAGTCAACTCTCGCGTCAAGTTGAGTCGGGTGCCTGTATTGTCTTTTCCCCTCGGTGATCTATATTGCATTGACAGTGTCGATTTTATAGCGTTCCACCGCACAGTTTCCGACACTATTGAATCATATAACGCTTAATAAATAACCAATTGTATCGTTAATTAACAAACAACACTGCCATTATTTAACGTCGAATTATGAATTGACTATCGCAAGACTTCTAACCGGATTTTTGAAATATCAATTTAAAACTACCTAATGTATACTACATTTTCTTGTTACTATATGTATATAATCTTGTATTGCATACAGACTCTGTTGCGAAAATCCTAGTTCATAACGCGCCCCTCTAATTGCTTTAATTATCTCTTATCATGCTGCACGATAATCTTCCTCCGTCTATCACACGGAACATCTAAATAGGGATTCTCAATTTATTTTAGATTGTCTAAGCGGCTACGGTGATTAGGAATTTTGATAGAATCGCTGTCCCACTTTCGGAAGGACTTGGAAATGTTAGGTATTGCGAGTGGAACACGAAAAAACCAACGTTCCTCTCCCGGATACATTGCATCTTTTCTATCTCTTCAACTTTCTATCATTTACACAAACTTGTCACAATTTTACGTTACAGGAGTCGGTCTATTCTCCTCGCAGGAAGTACCGGCGTAGCTGTCGACATCAGCGTTCGACTCCTCCCCTGGGTTATCCATATTGACCACCGAGATCACCGGGCTCGTTGGACGGGGCCTCGATTCTCGATGGAAGTTGGGAACTGCATCGTACCGAGTCTCTGGGGTGGAACCGTTCTTTAAGGGCACCGAATCGCCAGTGGCGCCGATTATCTTCGGGGACGAAGAGGACGACGAACTCGACCGCGTCGTCCTCAGTTCGTGCTCGGCGGGACTGACCGCCTCCTCGCTGTCGTTCTCTCTGAACAGTTTCCTCAGATCGCTGCCCAGTCTTGTATCGTCCGGACTCGTCTTCGAATCCGCGGCGACAGTCAGGGCCAAGGAATCCGGTGGTTTCTTGACTCTGACAGTATTGGCCAGCTCGCTGAAAGGAACCTTGATCTCGCCCGTGGCCCACACGTCGGAATTGGGGCTGCACGAGCCACGGGACATTGTCTGGGTAGCCTTTGGTCTCGTCGAATCGTCCATCGAGTGCCAACGATGTGATCTCGCAATCGATGTACCTTGTGCAATGGCGCTTAAGCTGTTCGCCGGGATTATTCGATGAGGGAACCGTGGCGAGCCGCGTATCTTTTCTCGAGAGGACGACTGACTCGCGCTCGTCTCTGAAATGTTTCCAACATCGCAGGGTTCGAATTGAGAATATCTTTATAAGGTTTTCTAAGGAGAAAACTTTATTAAAATATTCTAAGGAGAATATCTTTATAAATTTAATATTAGAGATGTGCGACTCAAGGACTTCTTTTATGTCGAGTCGAATCGACTCGAATTTCATTTCCTTTCTCGCGCCCGAAACGAATTGAATGAAATTAAATCGAATCGTTAAAATACAATTTTTAATTAACAACGTAATTATTATTAGGTTGAATTTTAATGAACGTTAATAGTAAAAGAAATGGAATTTTGATGTGGAAAAGTAGTATTGATTATGTAATGTAAATTCGTTTTGAAGTAGAAAACATATTTCAATATTTAATGTAAAACCAATACAAAGTTCTTCATTTAATGTCGCAGCAACTGAGACAATTGAACGAAAAATTATAGATAAATTATTCAAATTTTAATTATAGTATCCAATAATATTATCCAGTTACATATTATCAATACTTTTTTGCTTGAATCCAAAGGTAAAAATTAATCACATTCTACTGCTACTTAGCTGCTCAATAGCATTTGCAGCACAGTGAATGCACCTACTGAACGTATACTATTAATATAGCCGTACTATTTTGCTTAACGAGAAATATATGTGATTTTATAAGATTAACAATAAATATTATTCGTATTCGAGGCAACTGGATTTGAAATTTTCAAATAGTTCAGATTCAAGTCATAGAAATTCAAAGTTGAATCCAGCCGAGTCTCGCTCGGTTCGGTTTAAATTTGAATTTCTATCGTTGAGAATCTAAGCTATTTGAAAATTTCAAATCCAGTTGGTTCGAACACGAATGAAATTTCGTATTCCAATAGTTTGTACATCTCTACAAAATCTGTTACTATATATTATTATTGAGTAACACGTAATGGTCGTAGGGCCAAACTGACGTAAAATTTTGGTCAAGCCGAATATGTCACGCGTGACGTCACAAAATGTGACTTATTAATGGTGTTTTCACAGCATTTGGATGTCATTTTAACTTTATTGTGACTTGCTATTCTACCTGCATGCTTAATCAATTTATTATAGGCTCCTCTATATATTGATTATATACGAATATTAATTATATATAATTTGATTATACATAAAATAGTCACAAACTGATCAAATTTTCGTCACTGACAGGTGCACGCTGAAGTTTCAGTCGAGATAATATCATTTTCATGTTCTCGAGAGTCTCGTAATCGAGTGTTACTTGTGTGCGCGATAAAAAAAGATTTTGGACCTACACCTTTCTCTCTTCGAGAGAGAAAAACGGTATATACTCGTAACGAAATTAAATTTAAAATATCACGTAACAAACGCATGAATTTACGGAAGCCGCAAAATTGCGACGTGCTTGTTTCTGTAAAGGCAAAAATATGAAAAATAATATGCGTATTTAATTGGAGTGCAATTATGATTTAACATGTTAAAGTCAGGTCACTTACGTGGCGGTAAGCTGAAATTTACTTTAGGCTCGCTACTTTCCTTGCGACGTAAACCTAGGCTCAACCTACGGTCTTCCTCGCTGGTAATGCTAATTATTGGTCCTGAACCGCATCGGGTATGGGGCGAGTGAGTGCCTTGGGCATCCACCTGGCAAGTGGAGGCAGCTTTCGCGCCGGGCACCAGACCAGCGATGTAGCCCATATGGACTCGAAGCGCCGACGCGACTCCTAATGAAGATAATGCAAGCGGGATTAAGCCGCGTATATTAAATATGTGAATAAATTATAGGAAACGCGCGAGAGCCGAAATATAAACCGCAATTTGGCAAAACCGTGAAACCCATAATGTTATATGTTATATAATACTCAATAACTTCCCTTATCAATTCGCAAACGATTACGGACCGCAGCGTGAATCGAATCTCTAAATAATTTACATTTATATTTCTCGCGAGCATAAATTTCGCGAGCGAGCGAAAGGCGCGAATTATTCCGATATATATGTAACACGCGGGCGCAGACCCAATTCCAATTTTTCATTTTTTTTTATCCTTATTTAAAATTTCCCTTAAATTTCCGTAGTTGCGCGTGCTTTTGTAAAAATGTTCCTTTGTGAGAGAAATTTACTCGCTTCTGACGTTGCGATATACATGTACGGTTAAATCGTGTCTATATCACATCGCGCTTTAAGGTGTAAAGTGCCTTTAGCCTTTTATTCTCCGGCGCCTTCTCTTACCGGTGAACGATGCCGTGGAGGTTTTCCTGCTACTCGGCCTGCTGCCGAAGAGACTGAAGAGCCGTTGAAAAACGCCCAGCCGATTCGGGCCCTCGGTCTCCCGGCGACGGTGCAGCTTGTAAAGGTCGGCCAGGCTTTGTCTGGGGTCGCCGGGCTCCAGATCCGGCTGACTGCTAAATGCTACGGTACCGCGACGTATGCCTAATTTCAACAAGAGCCAAAACTCGTACATGAAACGCGAAACCACCATTACGGGTCGGGCGATCATTATGATGGACGCGCATTATCGAGGCTTGCGGGTCTCTACTTAGCCGTCGGCATTTCCGCAAGCGCGTGCGAATTTAGACGACATTTATGCGGAAGTGAGTCATGAATCCAGCGAATGTTCGGCAACGGCAACATTCCTCCATTATCCGAAAGAGATTTATCTGTCTGCAATTGATAATTCCTCAGGGAATAATAATCAAACAGATTGTGGGAGAGACTCTTGTACCTATTCTCGGTTTGCGTTGGTCATTTACACTGTAAAGAAACTGTGTAAAATTACATAAACAATTTCACTGTTAATTAACGGAAGTGTGAATTCATGTAATTTTAGAAAAAAATAAGTTTCTTTCCTCTTTTTGTATAAATAATTGTTTATATTGAACGAAAAGTCACAAAATTCACAGCAAGTTAATTACTTACTATATTATACATGGTAATCCTTTTATCTACGAGAACATATATGAAATTACTAATGCATGCGAATATGCACTTTTAATAAATGTTTTAATTCCTATAATAGGTGTAATTTTATATGCAATTCTTTTACAGTGCAGGGTGACATTACTGGACCGAGAAAAAAGTTTCTTTAAAATCGAAGAGACTAAAATCGAACTAAGATCAAACAAATTTGAATTTTGACCTTACTGACTTTTATTTAATTTCAAAGAAATCATTTCTTTATCTTAACTAAAATTTTATTCAATCGAGACTGGAATCTCTAAGAGAATTCATATCTATGTCTTCAAATCTAGCAAATGTTTTACTAGAAGTGAATGAAACTTTAGTAGATTTAAAAAAAAACATGATTTCAACGTATCTCACTTGTTTAACCTAACTTCTTGATCTTCTAAATCTTTTTTCTGGGTGATGCATTTTTATTTTTTCCAAATATAATAACACCGCTGTCAGGACAATCGTTGATGTTAGGTTTGTCGTGACGCGAGTGCTCCAAATGTTTGCTCCACCTCGAGATCAATGGCTCTCTCAGGCTGGATTCACACCTTGGCAGAACAGCAGAAAGCAGAAATACAGAAGCCAATCAGAACTCGCCTTGGTAGTAAGCAGCACTCTGCTAACAGAAAGTAGAAACTGTCGACCACCAGCGAGAATTCTGATTGGTTCTGATTGGATTTCTGCTTTTCTGCTTTTCTGCCAAGGTGTGAGTCCACTCTTATTCCCGTGCAACGGACTATGACTGCAGCTTCAAGATGAAAGTCGTCTTTAGGACAGAAGAAGAAGAAGGAGGGAAGACACGTGTATATGTCTCTCATAGTAAAATGTTAAAACGTCAAGCCGAAACGTTCTTTGATATGCGCCGTTCGAAATTTACATTCACAATTAGCCGAGAAGATTCAAGAAGCCGCTAATATCGTGAGTCGCAAGCCGGATGTGTAAGATTGGCAAAGGCGCGCGGCGCGATTCGCATCTTTAATTAGCTCGCGAGGCATCCCAGCTCGTCGCAAACAGTGGCGGTGATACTTTGACATATGAAGGAACTCGGGATCGATAATTACTAAATATTTCCGTCATCCGAGTTTCAGGGCGCCGCGATATACGGCGAGTACGTCATATATCATGTACGCAGTATGTAATTTACGTAATGCAGGGATGTACGCTGGGTATCGCATATCATTAGTGAGAAATATTTTCCGCTACGGTGTCTTAATAGATTGGATACTGATATATTTCCAGATTTAAAGACCGCGGCTACGCTCTCCCTCTCCCCCAATACGCATCTCCTTTTCTTAAAAAAAAAGAAGAAGGGGAAGAAAAGAAAATCTTGATCAAAAGCGTAAATTGCACCGCTGCTATCAAGACCCGCGTTTGAACAGAAAAGATATTCGAAATTGGGTCGCCGAATCGCGGGCTTTCTTCCGAGAAAATGGTTCCGAAGCATTCGCGATTCTCCGGCGCGAGAGACCACCTCTCGTATGCATGCATCCACGCAAACCGGCGCGCAGCCTTTGACCCCGTTCGATCCGGTCATGGTGGATATTGAGAAATATTGGGGGTGGAACGTGCAGCCTGCGTGCAGACTCGTACCCGCGTGCGGAATTGTCTGGACTTATCGAGGGGATTCGGGGATTTTGGAGACACGAGCGTAATGCCGGGACTCCCCGGATCGATGTTACACGCCGACGAACGCGTCGTGGCTCTTCTCGGACTAATGCTGGGCTCTCGCTCGCTAATAATGTCCAGATTGGTGTCCGCGCGATCACGGCCGGGTTGATGCGAGCGATAATTGGTACACGGGTGCTCGATACGCGTCTTGCGCCCCGGCGCGCGTCGCCGTCGGTGAATTATCGGAGCGTAAATATGCACGTGCATACGACAGTTGAAAGCGAGGATATTCCGCGGGGGGAGCCGCGCGGTATTTGCGCTGCAAATGGCAAAGTGAGACGACGGGTTTTCGTGGAAAGTTTCCCCTTTGTCAGCGCGCCTCGACAGCCGGGAATGAACAAAATCAATTACGAGGCGCGCGCGCGCGCGGGGTAAAATAATCGCGAGCGATTATTGCGTTTTGTCCGTGCGGTCCGCAAAGAAAAGCAGATCGGTCGAAATGAGGACGGAAGGGGATTCGTTTCTGCGAGATCGAACGCCCACAGCTACTCGGCCCTGTGTTGTTCGAGTCTAAAGTTAAATACTTCTAAAGCTCTATTTTAAAGAGGATTGGAGCTATCGCTACTTTTGCTCACTTAAGTTCTTGCTCTGCGTTTATGTACAAAGCCTCGGGAACGTACACGTTTTCGTACAGTCCCTTCGATGGTGTTTCGAGTTGCTAACAATTTTCGCATGCATATGTGTTTTTTCTGTGGCTGCCACAATCGCTTTGTCGAATCTAATTTACGAAAAAAAAAGAGAAAAAATACGGGAAAATCTCGAGAAAGGTGTCGAATGAGACGCTTTTTCCCCCCGCTACATTAACGTCTTCTACATCTCTGAGAACTTTTCTCGCACTTCAACTCAGGCAGGCGCGAGTAAACGTTTTTCAGGCAATTACGTGCAATAAAGGGATTTCTGTCACCTTCCTTGGACGTCTGATCGACGGGAAAAGAGAGAACGACGAAGCGAGAAAAACATTAATACTTATGGTTCCTTCCTTCTCTCCTGGTAGCAAGGCTCGATTCGTCGTGCAAGTTTTGGCACGTTCTATTCCTGTCTTACGGTGCTTGCGCGTTTCGATCTGCCAGTTGCACTCTCGTCACGTTCGCTTCAAGTATTTACATCCACCAAACTTTAACTCTTCAACGTTTTTAATAGATAATGTATTTCGACGAACAAGGTTTCGGTCCTTCATAGAATCAATGCGGACCTTAACTTCCAAGTTTAGACTGATAAGAGCCAATCCGTCGTTTCGTAGAATGCCACATGAATCGGCTCTGCCGGCCGATCAATATTACGTCGCTTCTTCCTAAATTTTCGTCTAACTGTTGTATCTTAAGGGGATGCTGGAGTGATTCTGCACTTTTGCACCTTTTGCTAGAGCTAGAGCTGTCAGTTCATGGAAACATTTATGCAACATACAAATTATGTGGCTTTCGTGTACAGGTCGGAAGTGTCCCACCATTCGGGCTAACGTCCATTTCTACCAACGCAGGTTTAACTTTGATCTCGGTTTGACTTACTTGTTGTCTTTTTCTAGTTCCATGAATTGGAAAGAGGAGAAAACTTAGTTAAATAGGAATTAAATTAATCTGCGTTGGTAGAAATGGACATAAATCAGAGAACAGCATGCATAGTATCATTGAAACTCAGTTTAGAAGCCTAAAAACAAGGGGGTAACCACTTGATGTAATCGTGGGACAGTGTCTCCGAAATCATTATGAAATCTTTACGAAATCTCCGTGTAATCGTTTTGTCTTCATCTTCAAGTTTCTTCGCTTGTTAGACAATAAACATTAAACTTGAACATTTTCTCAGCTTGTTTTCGTTTTTCAAAAAAATTTACTTCTTTTAGTGAATATCCAAATATAGTTCACATCTATAAGCGCGTATTCTTTTCATAATAAGACTGAAGTATTATAGTTGCCGTTAGAACAAGAGCGAGGTGAAACGTTGATACACCTTTGCGCGCAAATTTGGAATACAATAAACGGTACATACAAATACAAAATTACTTTTCATTAAGACCACGGTTAGACTAGTGGGAAAAGTGGGAAAACAAGGAAACACGTTTTCCACCTAACCAAATGCTACAATCTTAACTGAAATTACTCCTACAAGCAAATACTTCTTAGTAAAATAAGAAAAATATATTTTGAGGAAATCCAACAGCTCTTTGAGGTTTAACAACGTCACACATTTTTAAACGTGCACATAAGAGAAAATTATTTGCAATTAGACGAGATTATTTGTAATCAGATTAAATCAAGCGAAATCATGTAATCGGTGGGGCAACATTTTAGCTAGTGGTTACGCCCTTGTTAAAAAGTTCAGGCTCTAAAGTTACAATTAGTTTCAATGATACCATGCTGTTCCCCGATTTAGTTCGGATAGTTTTGATCGTACGCATAAGCCTACAATTTGTGTGTTTCACGAATTGACAGATGAAAAAAAAGTGCAAAAGGTGCAGAATCCCTCTAGCATCCCCACAAGAAGAATCGATTCCAGGAAGATCGAACGTCCAAAATAAATTCAATTGTTTAGCGAAGATTGGAATAGAGTTGCTCTTGCACGGCGGATTTCCGCGCGACGTGGATTTACACTTACCGGACGAATCCGCGGAGGGCCAGCTAGCTCGGGGAATAACCGGCGGCAGAACGCTGAGCAACAAGAGGGGCAGACCGCCCCCGATACTTGGATTTCGTTGCGGGATCGAGGCGCTTGATGAAGTGCGCGACGGCTCCGCTGGATCTTGCGCTAGCTGCTTCTCCAATCTGGCCAATTCCAGCTCCAGCTGTGCCATCTCACGACGATAAACTCGGTTTTGCACCTCCACGCGATACTGCAACTCCCTATTGTCAAAACGTAATCGCTTTTAAAGGAGCGCCAAACTTAGAATTGTCTAGACAGATAACGCAAACAGACAAATGTGTTCTGTCGCGTGCTGCGCTTGGAAATTCGTCGATGTAAAAGTACGCGTAATAGATGTTGAAACGGTAAAAACGTAGACCAATTCACTTCGCTCGTTCGGTAGCAAATTACGCAGCGACTCAATCGCCTCTTAATTTTGCAAACATTCCATTTGTAAGGTCGACATGCTCGTTACCGGAAGATCGAACGACGCAATGCTATTTTCTCCCTCAGCTTACGCGGAAAGAAACACGTGGGAAGAGCTCGTAGACGAGATAAAGAGATATCGTCTGGAGGTCGATCCGCCTCATCGATTATCCCCCGCAGTGGGAACTTGTAGAACGATACCATCGGGGGGTTTTTACCGTCTCTTCTCCCGCGACTCTTGATTTCCGCTCTTCTCGCTTCCGCGCGAACAAGAAATCTTAGACCGAGAAGAGACCGTCCTCAGCGGCCACTCACCTTCTGTCGTCGGTGACGAATCTGCGCGTGTTACACTCGATCTTGAGACCGAGACTCTGCACGACCGGGTCGGCCCTCTCCCCCCCCGCCAGGATGTTCGCCAATTGGGGCAGGAAGAGGAGCGCCAGGGTCGCCGTGGTCGAGGCCAGAATCAGGGCAGTGATCGTGACAAAGGCCAGGGTCGCGCGGTCGGGCATCAGGTTGGCTAGCACTACGACGATACCCGACGTGATTACTACGAAGTACACGCTCATACCGATGTATTGCGAGTCGTTTAGGGCTGGAATCTTTACGTGCCTGAAATCATCAGCAGCGATTCGCTCGTGTATTGTCACATCTCCGCGTCTTGCGAGCCGGTGCCGTTCGACGACGCAATCTGACTTTAGCTCTACGGAGGGCGCGTGACGTGTCTCAACGAAGCACTCTATATAAACCGCTTACGATCAATCAAAGGACAAGCTAAGCGGGATTACAGTAATATTTCCCGCGGGAATTATACAGATACGCGGGGAATTAATGGCTAGTTCGCTTTCAAAACGGCATCAAGTATGCAGTAGATTATCTCTATTATCGGGGGAGCCGGTTCGCTTTGCGAAATCCACGGACTTGGAGACGTCTTTATCCCTAAGCTCACCTTGTTTCCCAGGCCATGTAGACTCCGACTACGAGTAATAAACCTTTGTAAACGTAGAGAGCGCTTAACCAGCCGTTCGTATGCTGCGAGCGACACACCTCCACCTGCAAAGGCAAATAAAGGCACGAATTAATTGGCCGCGGTACTTGTTAACGTTAATACCGCGGCGTAACCGTGACATTCCGGGCCATGGCTGTTGGCGCCACGGTACCTCGCCTGGGGTGGCGAGGCCAGCCGGACGCGGAGCCGGTTACCTGGGGCTGATACACCACTCCCCGGTCCTGCGGGCTTATCTCCAGGGTGAGATTCTGCAGGTGACGTTGCATCGGGTCCAGAATCACCCAGAGGGTCACCACGACCACGTCGATCACCAGGAGCATGCAGATTAAGAATATCAGCTGGGTGTCCTGGAGCAGCTGGAAAGCGCGAAGCGATAACCGTGATTTACGGGCCTGATTCCGGGGCATCGATTCCGCGAGCACGGAAGCGCGTGACTTTTCGTCGTTTCTCTTTCTCCTCTCTCTCTCTCTCTCTCTCGCTCTTTTTTTCGCCGATACAAATATTGGTTTCGCGTTACGTCTACCGATCGGGGACGGGGAATTATTGTTCGCATGCCGCAAACCTTATTCTTCACGACCCCGCTCCGGCTCCGGGTGAAGATTCTGTGCACCCGATAAGTCTTGGTGAACATCGAGCCGAAAGCCATGGAGAAGCCGGCCGATAGCAAATACACTCTGGCCTGTTGGTAAGAAACGCACCACAGATTTGTGTTAATCCTTATCTTTAGAAGAGAACGCTTACCGCTGTTGTAAAATATTATAGAAACGAGCGCATTGTAACAATCACGAAAACATTTTCAGTGCGCAATTATCGCGCATTTGTCTACAATTCTCGACGACCGATCAGCGATAGCTGCACGGAAAAAAAATCAGTGTAATTGAAATCGTTGAAACAACATTAATATTAAAGAACGAAAAAATACCGGATGGTTGTCCTAATCTGGAACATTTAGTTCGATGCTTAAAATTAAAATACATAGCAAATACACTTGAGTGAATTACTTGTGTTTGTGGCAGCCCGTGACGTTATCATTTAATTCAAGCAACTTCATTTTTTTTTAAATTCAACAAACATTTTTTTCCGCGTGCGTCGCTATTATTGCATGTACAATAAAAAAACTTGCGCTTTCCACCAGCTCGAGTCACTTTCTCTCAAAAAGATCCTCTGGTGCTTAAAGAGAAGCGCTCAAAAGCGAAGTCGTCAACGTCCCTGACGCGAAGCGTCCGGTATCGATGCGGAACGTTAGCATACATTGTATCACATAAGTCAAATCGGCGCAGATAATATTGATCGCGTCGGTGAGGACGTTAATATGCCTCGTAATGGATGTTAATCACCTTGCACACCGTAGGGTAATAACCATCGCTGTCGGACAGCGTGGCGTCGTCCAGCCCCAAAAGTATAACGGCACCGTAGACCAGGCCGCAACCAACGGCTGCCATGTTATTCAGCCTCGGGCTCGAAAGTTTTATGCTTCTGCCAATATCCAGAAATAATGGACTTGAGTGATATATCGTGGCGATTTGCATACAGATTCGTGGGTACACAGCAAGTGCGATCCCCATAAGTGAGCTGTCTCCCCCCCCCCGTTTATTCTGATTCGTAAAATCGACATATGCGTGTTAACGCTTACTAAATTTCATCGATGGTTTCATCAATTTTTTTCTCTTTTTTTCCTAAGAATAAACGATAGACGTTTAGAAAGCGTATCCACGCTGAGTAAACGTTTAAAGGTGTTTGTAAAATTATTTACAAATAATCAGACGCTCTTTCAGTCTCTTTTTTCTCAATTACGTGACGACACGCTGCCTTGCGTTGATATCGAACTTACTTGTGCTTTCGAAAGTGAAGATTAAAGGCCAGGAAAGAGAGCGCCAGGGTGACACCGACGCTGGCGATGCAGGTGATAGCGAGAAACGCGGCGGGTGCCACTGTCACCATTCGTAATCTGCGTGCAATAACAAACTCGATCACTCTGCCTGTTGCCCTCGAACTTGGCGAATTGTCGGGCGACGTTATCGAACGCGGGCGCGTAAATTAATTTAACACGTTGCTCCGCGACGTTATAATTGCTACCGCTATTGCCGCACAATACATTACGCTAACTCGTTACAAGCTGTAATTATCGTTGTCGAATTATTGCCGTGCTCGAACGTGTGTCGGAACTGGCTAAATATTTGACGCTGGCGATGATTTGAGGTACACTCGGTGTGCAGCGGCGATTATTTCATCAACACCTCGCCGGGCACGGGGAGATTATATTGTCAATGATTCCGGATTATTAAATCCGAATTGCAACAATAAGATCGGATGTAATGGAAACACCTTCCGCTGTTTGATTACTCTCTAAAAATCAATCAGTGAATTATCAGAAACAGAAAACAGTGAATAGTCACTGAATTAAAGTTACAAGTATACCGCTGCGACTTTCTTATAACTGCAAATCAGTAACTATTCGCTGTTTTCAGTGATAATTCACTGATTGACTTTTAGAGAGTACGTCAAACTCTTTCAATGCGAATCGTTTCAACTATTTAAATTAGACACATTAGTCAATTTATTAACATGCAAATTAGGATGATGAAGACACGGTTTACTCAATAACGATTCGATAGTTCAATCGAGAATGATGACACTGATAATACGTACCGGAAGACTCTACGAGCCGCCGGTACTTGCCCTCCGGGCCATCTCATAGCCTCACATCCTGGACAGTTCATTATCAGTTTCTCATCTTCGGGAGTGTAGATAGCTATTCTCTTAATATCGTGTCCTGTAATCGAAAAACTTTGCCATCAGCCACCGGAAGCGTGTCAGATTGCAGTCGGATCGTTTAGTGAATTTCATCTCCGCGAACCTCTGACGTTGGAAAAATTAATAGTTGTCACTTAAGATTAATTAATCGCGTGACTTCTACGTTCAACATTTGTCGTGCGCTGAATTTGTTTAGAGACTAAACTTTTCCGAGTACAGAAAAATCGCAATTATCGGTGAAATAAGAAGTAACGGAATTGCCGAACGCGGGACAGGTAGATGAATTTTCTCGGAATAAAGGCTATCGATTTTGACTTCAAACTAAATTTTTTTTTGCCCGCTCTGCTCTATTCCGATTTCTCTTTCCGCTCATCGTGAGTGCCTGGTAAAACTGTTCCGTTCGTGTGTCAGAAAATAAGCAGCGGAAAGAGATCGAGATGCCCAAAGGGACGTTTATACACACTGGGAGTGTAATTTCCTCTTTCGCCCTTTTGTTTGCACACCTACCGCTTTCGCCTTCTTATCGAGGGCAAGTTTGAAGGAGAAATTAATTACCTTCTTAACGTCCGAGATGTATGCAAAAATAGAATTGGTGGTGTATGCAAAAATAGAAAGGAGTTTGGACAGTCCACGGATAAAATGCCAACAATGCCAAAAACAAACCAATTATATTTAATCGTCGTCTTCAATTATGCTCTCAAGTCTTCTCCAGCAATTGTCTCTAACAAGACAGACGTGATTCTTGTCGAGTATCGATGATTATCTTCTTATTGGGGGTAGAAATTATAGTGCACGTCGAAAGAGCAACGTTAATCAAACCGAGGCTTCAATTTCTTCCACCTCGTCATTCGGTGTCCTTAGAAAATCCATTATCCGCCCCCTTTTCTCTCGCATTCGTTCGGCGATTTATCGGTGTCAGTAAGCTCGGATATTCGCGGGGCTAGCGAAAGGTGGATTGGAGCCGTGCGAACCATGTCAGCATTGCTTTCACCACACCTGAGGCCGAAATTTCAATGAAAAACCTATTCGAATAACGTATTAAACGCCATTCGATTAAGGTGATCTCTTCTTGTAGCAAAGCGTGACACAGGGAGAATTTCAGCGAATCAGTAGACACACATATACGCCGTGTTAGAAAAGCTATGCACTTTTTAAATCTATTCTAATCTTTGTCGCGATGGTTGAAAAAAAAATTCAATTTTCTTTAATATGTCGTGTTTACGTCAGCGTCATATAATTACATAATTCTATTTATGATGGAAAGAAATATACGGTTTTGCAGAGTACTACAGCGTTCGTTAGTCAAACGTAATCATTAATTCAATAATATTATGTAATAGAAAATTGATAATCCGTCGGGTAATTCTGGAAATGGAGATATTACTGTATCGCTGAGCCGTTCTAAATGTCATTCATGTTATTATGCAAATCGATGCGACATCCAAGTTGTCTTGATTCTGCGTACGCTAATGCGCAATTAAAATTAAAATAACATTAATTTGGTATTGGCGTCAATGCACGTGGAAATGGAACAGTTTCGGCTAACGATAAGCATAAGTAGGAGCTTTTCGCAGCATCCAATTATAGAAATGCCGATACGTCTCTTAAATCTTCAAGCAGACTCTTTGCGTTTGATTCCGAAACAAGCGTTTCTGAATTCCTTGCCAAGTTCTTGGAAGCGCGATCAATTATTGTGTTCCCTTTCGCATTCAATTCAGTGAGAATCAAAAGAATAAGAGTCCAATTATGTGAGTCGGTGTGACTTCGGTACCTTCGTGTTAGGATTTTCGACTCTAAATTAATTTCTGGAAATACTTTATTAACGTGTTGTACGGTAATTGTGCAACACCTCGTGTAGCAGTCGTCATTAAAAAGTAACGTAATAGTATTTTTATATGTCTTAAAATATTTCGATGGCATACATTTTTAAGATATTTCCTAAATATAGAATTATCTTATTAACCCTTTGCACTCCGAATTATATTTCATCTATTTTCATCTATTGGTTTGGACTTGAAAAAATGTCGAGTGAGACTCGATAAAGGAGCTCCTGGGATAAAAACTGATGTCGCGAGTCACACTCGACATAGGAGTGCAAAGGGTTAAAACAATAACTTTCCTTCATGAAATTTACATACAATGTAGCAGAAAAAAGTCATATTCAAAGATGGCAAAGGCGTTTAATAATTCATATTTAGCTACTTGAAGGCATCGTGAATTCTGTAGAAATGAAGAACTCGCTTTAATAAATAAAGATATCGGATCGCGCGAATTAAAATACATATTCTAAACTTATCTTCAGAGCGTAAACCTCTTACAAAGGTTTAAAGTTTCAGTTAACTACTTATCGTATAACAAATGCGCGAGCCGAGTGCTTTTACCAATTTGTTGTTACTTTCATTATGCAAAGTGCCTTAGAACCATCTTAGAGCGCGCTGTCTAGGTTCGTCGATGATTTTCTTTTACTGTATCAGAGCAGTTAGCTGCGTCACGTCAAATTTAATTTGAGGAACAACGTAGAATAGTCGTTTCATTCTTTCTGCTACAATCAGCACAAATGCTCGCAATTTATACTATTCCACGCTGCCTTTTGTTTCTCTCCACGTGCCACGTCTAGGCGAGTTTCTCCCTCGTGCATCTCGAAGCGCCTCGATCCGTTTTACGCAAACTATAATTCGTAGTCGCAATTGCAGCAGAATTTTATTCACAAGTTTTTCCTTCTATCATATAAAAATATCTTTAGGATCGAAGATTCCGCGCGATGTACCTAAAACTTAGGACAAAATTCTTTCGCGTATCTCAAACGGTGCAAAGTGGTCTTTGTGACTTGCTTGCCTCAGAGCGTCGCGTGAGCTCGCTCACTGATTCTTGACGCGACGATTATCATTTGGGGACAATAAGAAGAATTTACGGGAATGATTTCATTACGGTATAACAAATTGCCGGCCAATCTCTCGGATTGTATACAGAACGTTTCGGAGGTAAATGGTGGATAAAGGGATCTGTCGCCCGCGGTTTTACGGGCGGTTTTATTTATTTTTTGTTTCACCACGTCCGTCATATTCCGTCGACATCGCGACGCAATTTCTCCCGCGAACGCGCGTAATATTTCATGATAAACCCGCGACAACGGACGCGATGACCGCTTTTCCGCGCGCTTAATCCCGCGTGCAAATTGGGCGCGGGACGAATTTTCAGATACCGCACTCGCAATGCGTGAGCTCGCTCGGAGCTCGCTCCACGGTCGAGCAAATAGATCGATAGAGTGTCTCGGAGCACAGAAATTACATCCCCCTCGAGTGACCTCGCGGTGACCACGGCACAATAAGGTAAAGAAGCAAGGTAGACGCGGGGTGGCGACCGATACAGTGAGTAATGGGAGAAACGACGGGAACGACAAAGTGAAATAAACGACACGATAGATGCTGGCGACGTAATCGCAATTGCCCTCGCAACAAGCGACAAGTCTATTTGGCGGACTCTGTCCTGCATGATTACCGAGGGGTAATCGGACAACCCCATTGCCTCTCGTCGCGTAATAAGTAAAATGAAATCGAATTGCACGCCACCTCTTTTCCCTCGTTTCTCGCTTGCATCCGATTTTCGCTTCAACGTGACGCGCAAACAGCTTGCCCGATCACTATCCTCTCTCTGAGAGACTACGAGTCGGAATCGATATCCGTGACGACCGCGTCGTACAAGAATCTTTCCTATATCGCTACGCTCAGTCTTCCTCGCAGCCCTCGTTGACCTTTACGAGGAATTACTATATAGTCGTTTCATCCCATCGCCTCCGACGATTCCCCTTCGCCTACCGTTATATTCTCAAGTGAGGATACGTGATACCAATCGATCTTTCATTGGATTTGCAGCACGAAGGGCAGATAGTTATCCCTTTCTATCCCTCTTGTGAAATTCCAATGTATTGCATTGAAAATTTTCGCGCAAGTCTCGACACGAAACGCAAGGTTTACTATTTGCCGTCGAATTTGATAGATTACGGCAAAGTTTGACAGCAGAAAACGAGCGCGGTTAAAAGAAGGAAGAGAGAGAGGGGGGGGGGAGGGTACGGGGGGACCAAAGACGGGTCACAGGTGGTGAACGCGCGATGGTAGTCGATACTATTTAATTTGTCCAAACAGCGGTGCGGATTCCTTTGTACTGGTCCTTTGTATAGTGTTGAAATTCGTGTCAGTTCGTTGACTTTATCTAAAATCGATGCCGGCGCGATGCTGAAAAAGAAATCGCTCCTTCGCGCGGCTCCGAGCAAGGGTTAACGAGCTGAGCGATGAGCCCGTGATATGCCTCAGACGGCGGTCGCGTTATCAGAAAGGCGTGAAAATGGCGCGAGATTCTTCTGGGTTCAGCGCTCCCGAGAGAGAGAGAGAGAGAGAGAAGGAGAGTATTAGTGATTTTTTAAGCGACAAAACTGGCAAGTCTTTAATTCTCATTAATAGAGAATCCCCCCCCCCCTCCCTGATTGTTTTTGTCTCAAATGACACGTGACTAATGATTTTCTCACCGCTATACACGAAGTGGAAAATAATTTTCGCGAGTTTCAAAGAGTCTTCCAACGCGAGCGTTACGAGATAACGAAAACTGAGAATAAAACACTTTGTGTCTTGGAACACACAGCGTAGCTGAAGAAAACGAAGAGAGAAAGGGAGAGGGGAAGGGAGAAATAATATAAACTTTGTGGTATTACGTATCAAGAGGGTCTCAAGTTTAAACAAAATGCTTTGGATTATCTGTCTCTCTTGGTTTCTCTTGTTAAACTTTACTGTGGCGAGAGAGGCAGACGTTCTAATATTTGTTGCAAATTTCGCGGGGCGATGTTTTAAGACGCTGATAACAAGTTTCTGCAACAAATTGCTCTTGATAATGTAGTCAATATTACTTCTGTTGAGCTAACAATGGGATTGTTGTGTACAGCATTTGCAAATCATTATAAATTAAGTCGAGTCTTCGCTTGTGTCTAAAGTACGATTGTAGGATTGAAAAACATACTAAATACATTAATATTTCTAATATCTTTCTAACGTATCTTGAAAAGGGCTTTGATATTCGTGCAATCTTTAACATTCCAGAAGTGCGTCCGTACTTTATACACAGTGAAAGAACGAAAATATGGAAACGGCAATCCATTGTTTCTCTATTGGAGCTTTTAAGAGATTGTTCGGGCCTGCTGCATGCCGCTTTTAGTC